AATCCTAAGTTCTTGTCTCATCTGGGCTGAGTAACAGTGTGACTTTGGGCTAGTTGCTTAGCCCTCTGAGTGTCAGTAAAATGAGCCCTCTCTTTGTAAAACAAGAGGACTGATGTACAATTGCGTTTTTTTCTACCTCTGACATTTTGTGATGCCCCAGTGGTATGTCTCCATGCAAAGCAATGCCAGGGTATTTATTGGAGGGTTTAGAAGCTCTTTGACACTTACATGTAACACTTGTATATCCTTCCTTCCAGGTAGCGATGGGCTTCTTCCAAGTGGGCTTTGTTTCTGTCTACCTCTCAGATGCCTTGCTGAGTGGATTTGTCACTGGTGCCTCCTTCACTATTCTTACATCTCAGGCCAAGTATCTCCTTGGGCTCAGCCTTCCTCGGAGTAATGGTGTGGGCTCGCTCATCACTACTTGGATACAGATCTTCAGAAACATCCATAAGACCAATCTCTGTGATCTCATCACCAGCCTTTTGTGCCTTTTGGTTCTTTTGCCAACCAAAGAACTCAATGAGCACTTCAAGTCCAAGCTTAAGGCACCGATTCCTACTGAACTCATTGTCATCGTGGCAGCCACATTAGCCTCTCATTTTGGAAAACTAAATGAGAAATACAATACCAGTATTGCTGGGCCTATTCCCACGGGGTTTATGCCACCGAAAGCACCAGACTGGAATCTAATTCCTAGTTTGGCTGTAGATGCAATAGCTATTTCGATCATTGGTTTTGCTATCACTGTATCACTTTCTGAGATGTTTGCCAAGAAACATGGCTACACGGTCAAAGCCAATCAGGAAATGTATGCCATTGGCTTTTGCAATATCATCCCCTCCTTTTTCCACTGCTTTACTACCAGCGCAGCTCTTGCAAAGACCTTGGTTAAAGAATCAACAGGCTGCCAAACTCAGCTTTCTGGTGTGGTGACAGCCTTGGTTCTTTTGTTGGTCCTCCTGGTAATAGCTCCTTTATTCTATTCCCTTCAGAAAAGTGTCCTTGGTGTAATCACCATTGTAAATCTCCGGGGAGCCCTACGCAAATTTAAGGATCTGCCCAACATGTGGAAGGTTAGCAGAATGGATACAGTTATCTGGTTTGTTACCATGCTGTCCTCTGCACTGATAAGTACTGAAATAGGCCTGCTAATTGGGGTTTGTTTTTCTATGTTTTGTGTCATTCTCCGCACTCAGAAGCCAAAGACTTCGTTGCTTGGTTTGGTGGAAGAGTCTGAAATCTTTGAATCCGTGTCTGCTTACAAGAATCTTCAGACTAAGCCGGGCATCAAGATATTCCGTTTTGTAGCCCCTCTCTACTACATAAACAAAGAATGTTTTAAATCTGCTTTATACAAAAAAACTCTCAACCCAATCTTAGTAAAGGCAGCTCAGAAGAAGGCCGCAAAGAGAAAGATCACAAAGGAAACAGTGATTCTCAGTGGAATCCAGGACGAAGTTTCAGTGCAACTTTCCTGTGATCCCTTGGAGCTTCATACCATAGTGATTGACTGCAGCACAATACAGTTTTTAGATACAGCAGGGATCCATACACTGAAAGAAGTTCGTAGAGATTATGAAGCCATTGGCATCCAGGTTCTGCTGGCTCAGTGCAATCCCTCTGTGAGGGATTCCCTGGCCTCCGGAGAGTATTTCAAAGAGGAAGAAGAAAACCTTCTCTTTTATAGTGTGTATGAAGCAGTGGCCTTTGCAGAATATCAGAATCAGAAAGGAGTATGTATTCCCAATGGTCTGAGCCTTTCCAGTGACTGACTGAGAAAGTGGATGGAAAGGAGAATGATGTCCAGCCAATAGGTTAAGGTTTGAAGTATATAACATTTTCTAGTTCCACAGTGGAAACTGTTGCACTTGAAATTTTAACCTGGGACGCCTGGGTGGCTCAGTCGGTTAAGCATCTGCCTTCGGCTCAGGTCATGATCCTGGAGTCCCGGGATCGAGTCCCGCATTGGGCTCCCTGCTCAGTGGGGAGTCTGCTTCTCCCTCTCCCTTTGTGTGCTCACCCTCGCTCTCTCTCTCTCTAATAAACAAATAAATCTTTAAAAAAATTGTTTTAACCTGTTGGTTAGACATTATTCCATTGACGCCGATGGCCTCTATAGGTAGACAAATGCAGCAGAGTTTATAGTTGGGCAGAATCACAAAGAAGAAAATATTGTAGTTTCAGGTTTTCTTGCAGATATGAGGTATTCTTGGAATTAAATAAACATCTATTGAATTGAACTGTAAAGTAGCCCCCAAACTCAGTTACCATGCTGTTGAAGATAAGCATTTGGACTCTTCCTTGAGAACCAGGAGGTAAAGCTGATGTTGACGTGGCAAGTGCTGGAGCCCACTTGCTGTGACACTTTGGAGAGGGAGTAGAAAGGATCAAGACGACAGTGTTGTGCCTTCTCTGATACCAGCAGGCCAGGAGACTTCTGGGGCAAAGGTTTGTTCTTACTTGTACTTCTCTGTTCCCAGTCTTTGCTCCCTAGACGGCAGTAGGATCTCTGGCTTTGAGTAGGAGAGCACCATCCCTTAAGGCAGGGAACCACAGGCACAGTCTTATCGGGGGTGGGGTGGCTGAGCAGGCTGGTGAAATCCTACCACGGGCCTCATGTTACCTAGAGCATTCTTTGTAATACATTTGATGTTTTATTCCTGCCTTTTTATTTAAGGTAAGTAGGTAAGTGAAGAGCTCTTCTTCATAATCAGCCAAAATAATAGGAATCCTCCCTGTCTTTTCTGTGATCTCAATCTGTCCTTGTTTCTGAGTATTTCTCTACCATTAAGCTCTATTGTAGCTTTCATTCATTTAGTGTTTCTCATGGAATCTGTCTTATACTGCTGTGGATTACCAGCGACAAGCTTGCTAGGTAAAAGGCACAATGCTGACTCCACAATTCTAGACAGCATTTTAAATGAGCTTGAGGCAACTGTTAAGGATGGATTGAAAAAAGGAATGATTGACGGTTTCCCTTAAGAATTTGTTTACTTAGCAGTGGATTTTTTTTTCCTTCCCATGGCACTTTAGCAAGGGTCCCCTGGGGATTGACAGTCTTCCTCAAATAGAAGGTACTATTCATCTTTACTCTTGCAGGAATATTTTATTGTAACCAATGGAAAGGAGTGCATGGAAGTGATAAAGTGCTTCCAAAAGAACATCAATAATTAATTGGCAGATGTTTTAGTGAAAACAAAACTGATGCTTACTGCCGTGCACCCGATTGATGTACAATAAATACGGATGACAGCGACAGCTTTTACCTCTTTAGGTCACCTAAAACTGTCATGCAAGAGGATTTAGAAACATCACATTCATACATCCCAAGTTCTGTGTATATATTATTTCTGATGGCTGGCCACAGGTTGTGGCCACAGGAATAGTTCCTTTTTAAAAGCAAGAATGTCCAACATTAAAAGCTTTTCATTCTGTATGTGGACCTTGATAGGCAACAACAACAACAAAAAAACAGGTTTTCCAAAGTTAGGACTAGGAGACTAATTGATGTGAGATTGAAACATTTAGCCACACTATTTAAAGCAAGCAATATAATTACAGAAATGCAAATCATTTTTAACCTGTTACTACATTCTAAACAACTTAAATTTATTTATGAGAAGCAAACCCTATGTGTAGGGCATCTGTTGGAGTGGGACACTTTTAAACATATGCAGCCTCTTTGTTGGCTCCAGAAACTCCAAGTGTTGCGTTTCTATTGGTAGAGCTCTGTCCATCTGTTTACATGGAAAATGCCTTTCTATTAAAACGAAACTGTTTCTCAATAAAAAAAAAAAAAAAAAAAAAGCTGGATTTCTGTCTTGGAAGTGATTGACTTCATGATTAAATGTAATAGTACTAAATTTTGACATCCGTTTACAACTTAAGTCTAGAAATACTAACTGCTGTTTGTTATGTGGGGTTTTTTCTTTTGTTGGTTTTTAGCCACTATTTGCCCTTTCTGTCCAGTTTTAGGAATAGTAATAATAAAATCACCGTGTCTTGGTTAGTTGTTTGTTTTTAATCCCTCTTAACCACCCCTCCCAAGCCAGGTTTGAATCCAGACCATTATAGATGTCTAATGCCATGTGAGAGAGTAAATGAGTCCATGTTCAAGATGACCCTATCATTTAGCAAACACAAGCAAAAAAAAAGTGTCCAAAGAATTTGGAAAATGGAGTAACAGGATCTGACTTTACCTGACACTTCTGTCCATATGTAGATATAAACAATTCTGAAGCTTTATGCAATTAGCAGATTCCTGAATTATGTTCTGGTTTGTTCCTCTTCTACCCAAACAAACAAACAAGAGATTCTACTTTTGGCAGCCACTGGTAAAAACATTTAAGATTTCTCTAGAATTTGTACCTCACTTCTCTGCTTGAGTTGAGGTCCACCTATACTGACACATTGTTGATTGCTAGTATTTAAAGAAATCAAACCTGAAACTAAAATGTAATTCACCAGCAAAACTATTCTTTCCATTTTCTTTCTTGCTCAAGGCTTGGATTTTAGCTCAGTAGCTGATACTTTTACACACTTTACTGATACAAAAATATCTCGCTTACCCTAAACTTTAGAGTCTAAAGGAAGCATTTTCTCATTGCTTAATAACAAATGTATAAAATTCTAAATATCTTAAAATGGTCATTTAATTGAAACATAGTGTATACATTCTTGATGGTTAAAACTTTACAGTTGGAGGGGTGGAGTATGCCAATGCACAGAAAGAGTAAGGATAACATTCAAGAGGAGTGAAGGGAATACACCGTTGAAAAAAACTCTTGGGGGCACCTGGGTGGCTCAGTCGTTAAGCGTCTGCCTTCGGCTC